TTTCACGTACGATGACGAAGTAAAAGTAAACCAGGGAAGATTTTTTATGCATTTAGTATGCCAACTTTTTTATAGCAATTGGAATCATAATTTCTCTGTTACTTCATCACGATTTCAATCAGTTTATTTGTTGTTGACATAATAAGGTAGGGTGCATCTCTAAAACCAGTCATTCTACAAAGCTTTAGAGCACGCGTCGTCTTATTAATAACATTCGATTATTCACCGTGGAATGAGCTTGATGTTAGGATGAAACACGGAAAATATAAATAATGAAAGAATTATACAAGACGAATTTCGTTAACTAGTACGTTCAACGAATAGAAGCAAATGATTCTAACAATTAATCATTTAATTTTTTTTCCTGATAGGTTTAAAAATTTTAATAAACCCCTTTCAGCATAGAATTTTGGTCATGTTGCTGTAATTGAATTTGAAAAATATGTAAAAAATGCAAAACAACTAAGCTGAAAAATATGTGCAAAGATGAACGCAAAATTTTAAAACTTTTTACTGATTTAATTTCAGACCACTTGATGGAAAAATGCATTTTTTGCAAATTTCACATGAATTAGACGTTAAACATGGACTTTTTCGTGGGTCACGATTCACAGCGAGGGTGAAGAGATTTTCTAATGGAAGCACAGGTTCGAATGGTCCAAAGAAAGCCAAATATTAAAATGTTTTATTAATTGACATTTTAGGTTCATGCAAAATTTTTTACCATTTCACAAGCTTTATTTCCACATGTTTCTCTGAGAAGAGATCCTCTTACTGCACGTAGAGAATTTTATGCGAGTTTGAACGAAACTAAGCAGGTTACTTAACACGCCTAGATTTTTTGGGTGGATATGTCATTAAAACTATAATAATAGCCAGAAAACTGCACTGCATGTATAAATATTGCGATTATGAATTTGACAGGGCTAGTTGCGAATTTTTATTGGATCAGCGAATAGGAAACCAAAGTCCGTTTGTCCTACCTCACACTTTTTTATTTTAGCAATTTAAATGTGACTTTTTTGTCAAATAAAATAATTCTTCCCTTGATTTGTTTTAGCGTTTGGCATGCATTAACTTGCTTGATTGCTATTGGGGATGAGCAAGGGCCGCTCAGAAGGACTTGATAGGATAGCGGAGGAATTCGAAAAATATGAGGACTTTCTTGATTCGCAGATAACGGATACTGATATGTTTTACTTAGAAGTAATTTTTATAATGCATTACTGGACGATAGGATGAAACCCTTGCTAGGGAACTGGTGGAATTGGGTTACCGGGGCACAGGCGAGATTATAACACGCGAAGATTTTAACCAAAAGAAAAAAGAGCTCGCCATTCAAGAGGAAAAAAGAAAAATGGCAAAGAAGTATTAATTGTTCATTTTTGGGTATTTCAAGTCGCTTGCGCCATTTCTGTTGATTTGGTGCATTAAATTGCTTTCAGTTTTTTTCTGATATCGGATATACAATATTGATAAATAATTTTTCATGGCGTATTATCCTTAAATATTTGATCTTAAAACTCTGGAGTTTGATTAATTAGCGTTTTAATAGGCTAGAATGGCCCTACTTATTTTTTGATTACCTCAAATTTGCATGTTACTTACACCCAAATTCCTATACACACGTGCGCACTTCTATTTAAAGCAGTAACTAGTATTTCCGTAGTTTGTCCTGAAAATTTCCTCTCTGAGTGTTTCGCCAATTGTAATATTCTTTAAAATGTAAATCGTGTTGCTTTTCAGAGCCTTAGATCATGAAGGACTTATTATCACCGAAGCTAGTTTGACAGCTTTAGCTGCAAGAGAGGAATCGAATAGACGAGGAAATTTGTCGGTGTGTTAAATTGTTGCCCTAATTTACCCAAAGACGATAATTTATATCCGCGATAGAAACGCTAGAGGTCAGGAAATTTCCGGTTACATTGATTATGCCCACCGTCTAAAACATGAGGACTTTGGACCCTACTTTTCTGGCAAAAAGAAGCTTATGCCACGAGTAGACGATTTAAGGTTAGCTACTTCGACGTTGGCTTCAAATTCTGACAAAAATACTTGATGAAACTGTTCTTTTTTTAATTTTTAAGCTATTACAACTGGGAGTCACAGAGTGTATATTCGAATTCAACATCGAATTACATTGTGATTGCCGATAACCCGAGTGGTTTACTATTCAAAAATAAGAAAGACAGGAAACTCGTTGTTGTTGATCCGTGGGTGAGTGGAATGAATCAGTAAAATGTTTAAAAAAATCTACGTGGCCTATCGCAATCAGTAAGTGAAAAATGCCATTTTTATGTTGTAGGCACCAACGGCGGGGGACAATACATCACGAACAAGCGTTTACTCGGCTATGTACTTGCAATTTGTTTTATATGACCACGTTACGCGGAGAAAAACCTAGTAAACGTATTGTCGGTGGTCTTTGCAGTTGCATACGTCTGGTTGAATATAGCATTTCGTGACCGGTTTTACAACACAGATGTAAAAAAACTATTGTTACCTATTTAATTTAAGTACACTTTAGAGTAAGTCCCAACGTCATCCAGGGAACAAAGTGGTTTCTGCCTGTATGTCGCGTGTGTTTGCAATTAGGTGTCCGTGACCCATTACTAATAGACTTTAAATGAATCAACAAAAATGGCAGGATCGTCCTCCATTGGTCGGTGTAAGGTCATGCCAAAATCATGAGATGTCCAAATTTTGGTAACTGTTCACTTAAACATGTTGATACATAAGGTCCAACATTATTTTAAACCACTTTTAACACTAAAATATGTCCATGAATCAAAAATCACCATGAAAGATTAGTTTAACAACAATCTATTAGTGCTCAGATGTCCTCGTCATCTGATTGGCTGTTGCGGACTAATCAAAAGATCCTGACAATAACACAGTTTTCGCTCCCACGAATAGCACATTGTCTGAACTCAAAAATCGATATTTTCACTCATTGAGGTCATTTCATTTCGCTTGGTATATGCTCTTCTGTTTCCGCATCCCGTTCTCGATGGTGTAACCTCTCACGCCATATTTTGCTGGAGAAGACAATCAATCGAACGGAGGTTTCGCAATGACATCTCGAATTTTAGAAAAACTTAACAGACTCTTCACAGTCCTCCTCTTTGTTCTCGTGCTCCATGACAGGATTCATAGGTTTAATCTGGAATTTCGGCAAAACTTGTGCACGTGTGCGCTTGACTGAATACGCCCATGCGACACGTTCTCGCAGAATGAATAAATGACTTAAATGACATCCCGTCAATTTGATGAATCACCCCGCGTCCGCATTTCGGATTTTCACTGGAATGGTTTTAAAACACCCAATGAGACGCTGGACTCCGACCTTGTCAAGCCTCAACCAATCACCACCCAAGGTCAACTCCGAGGATGTGAATATGGCCGTAAATCAGCCCACTTGTTTCTCTGCGTGTGTGTCGCTTCTCTCATAGTTTCCGGGTCGTGCAACCGGTTTTTCCCACATCCCCGTGTCCACACAGTGGAGATATGAAAAATGTTTGCCCCGATACACCTGACAGGTGGAGAGCCGCTGCTGCTGCCGCCGTGTGAGAATAGCGAGCAGTGAACTTTGACGTCGAGGCCATAAATTTGCCTCGCTTCGAGGCGGAGGCTGTTGCCTGTGGATGTTACACTGTGGAGGAGAGGTCGTGCGCTCGGGTTGGTGTGATTTATTTGCGTGTGTGTGTGTGGCTGCGTCTGTATGCTTTCGGAGATTAGTTTGACCGGCCCAATGACTTTGCCATCATGATCATCATGAAGATGATGCGTGTTTTTTCGGGTTCATTTCGACATGGTCAACGAGGTATTTGGTGCACGGCTTAATTATTACACATTTTTTCTACGAACCTAAAACTGGGGATATTTTAACGGTCTTCTGTGGCTTTGAAAGGTTTCACAACAAGTTTTCGTGAGTTGCATAACCTCTCAGAATAGCGGAGTTTACGACGGCAACTGACAAACACCACGTTCGATGGAACTGCAGTTTATACGAGTTTCAACAACAAGGAGCAAATGCCTCTATAGCAAAGCGGTCCATTTGGAATGTTCTTGGTGACGACATTGTGTCTTGTGAAGCGTGGCATTATTGGTACAAGCGTTTCGGAAGTGATAATTTCGATCTTAGTGACCGTAAGCGTCCCGGACAACAGCCTCAAATGTTTGAAAATGCGGAATCGCAAACTCTATTGGACAAAGTCTTAAGGCAAACGCTACGAGAGCTTGCAGCAGCTCAGTTAGGAGTCACCCAAACAGCGTTTGCACCACCGAATTGGAAAAATTCAATAACCTAGATGTTGGGTCCCACGTGTGTTGATCGAGGACAACTTAGGTTAACGCATGACTACGTGCCATTCACTGCCTGCCTGTCAATAAGAAAAGAACTACTCGAGAAGAATAGTGGCAGATTATGAAAGATATATTTTGCTGGAATCCCCAGAGGTAAAATGTCGTAGATAAATCGCAGGCCGAAGCAGGACATCCGCTTGAAGAAGGTTCTCTTGTGTATCTAGTGACACATGGATGGTGTGCGTTATTACAAACTTCTGACAAATGGTCAGACGTTGATTGTGAAATGTCACAGGCGACAATTGAGCAAATCGAGCCAAGAACATGATGAGAAAAGGCCATTTACCGGTCAAGGAAGCATGTAAGTCATTCTGCTGAAGCTGTATAACAACGCTCGACCACCTCACGTTGCTCGCGCGACTCACAAGACCCTCTTGAACTTGGGATTGGAAGCTCTCCCACACGCGGCATTTTCATCAGACTTGGCCCCATCCGGCTACAACCAGTTCCGGTCAACGTAGCAGCACGCCTTAGTGAATAAACAGTCCAAAACGCTGAAGATGGTGTGCGCGAATTCGTTGCTGATGACATTACTACCTCGAATCCTGCAAGTTTCTTTCGCGGTGGCATTCGTACGTTACCTGAGGTCACAGGAGACGATGGACAATATTTCCAATAATGTGTCCGCTGTTCTCTTCTTATGTCCAAAAAATTTGCTTTACAGTCTCTTGGATCGCGCAAGAATCTTTAAATAAGGCTCATCTTCCCAAGGTCAACTCAGATTCCGGTTTAAGTGGTCACCTATTTCGGAAAATATTCACTAAATGTATTGACCAAATATCTCAGTTAACAGCAGGAGGTCAGTTCGGGGAGCTAGCGAATCGGAGGTCAAAGGTCAACAGTGCTGATGCATCACACGTTTGTGCGTGTGACCGGCTGTTTTTGTAAATTTGACAGCAAAACGAATCTGATTGGTCAGATCAAATTCGAGTTGAGTCGCATGGCTTTTTGCTAATTTCTCATTGGCTTATTGAGAACTCTCAAGGCAACCGCAGATTTTTGCTTATTTTGGCTAATTTTGCAACTAAATCTTCAAGAAACAATGCTAGTAGAATCTACAAGAAGGAGGGAAATTTTTCTTTGATGAAAAAAGCAGAAAATTTTAGGGTCGCGACATCCTTGGCTACTTGACGAAATTGTGGCAAATACGCATGCCACAGACCTTGTTTTTTAAAAAAAAAAGAGACTGCCTAGTAAATTAAACGTCATCAACCCAAAGTCTCTTTGTGCGTGATGCGAGTTACCGTGGCAGAAACGCTCTCTCACACCGGCACATTGGAAGCAGCTTAACTGACGCTAAATGATGAATAGGGCAATTAAAACTGACAGGTAACAACGCGGGACACAGTACGAGCCTTAATTTACTGAGGGGGAATTTCGTCATTGTGGTTCTTACTTGGGGTAGATTTTGGGTTCTTCCACAAAACGAAGCAGGTCTGAGAGTAGAAGATTCTCCGTTGACACTTCCTGTGTTCTTGAAGGGTCTGTAGAGTGACATGGGGTCTAGCATTGTCATGGTAAAACACGATGGCTTCTCTATCAAAAATTTCTGGAAATAAGCATTTCTTTGCGATACCTTACCAGATATATAGCAGCACTTTAACTGGAGGCAGCAATTCAGCCTCCTTTACATAATCCCGCGATGCACAAGTTATGAGCTGATCCAAAGAATGTTCGTTGCGCTGACGGACGGAAAGACGAGTTTCTGTAGAAACACCGTTTAGTTTCTGTCAAAACGGATTGATCCTACTTAAGCACGCTGATTTTATGAGTGTTTCACAGTTGCCTTAAATGAGAAAATGCAGTCAAATCATCAAACCTCGTTTATTAGCAATGTTTCAACAATCACGGATTACGTTTGTTGTGAATCGTGTTTTTTCAACTCCTTAATCCGATCGATTCGCCTCCGATACAAGGCTCCTCTTCTCGAAGCATGGCGACAGCCGCGCAAAGCCTCAACCCCCCTTTATTCACACGTATTTGTATCTTGGATTAACGTCACACCTAGATCTCGATGTTAGCGCATGAATGACTCACGCATCCCAGGTATAAATACACACGCGCAAACCCGACACGACGACACCATTCTGGTTGAGCTCTGAAGTAAACGGTTGTGTCCCGTCCTCTCTGGTCTTTTCCTTCATCGCGGGCATCAGGCAATCGTAATCAGGCCAGGGTTAATTCAGTGGCCCCAGCGTGGTTCAGGACCACATGCTGGGGCCCACAACACGTTATTTTCGACTAAAAGACATTGTTACTGTCCCAAAATCAGCGGCTTAATCCCCATAATCACATATCATATGTACCTTCTCATTTTCCATTCTGTTTTTAACCATGTACGCACTTTTGTTTAAATGAACGCTTATTCAAGGTTACGAAAACGATATTATTACGCAGTAAACATCAAAACAGTAAATGTGCATGTCTTTGCGACCGTGATTCACGTAGAATTTCAACAAGTTATCGACCTGCCGGTGACGTAATAAATTAAGTCTGCTTTTGATTGACTGCGTCTCCCAAATGTTTACATGTTTAGTTACGACCACGCTGTAATTTACTATGCATCATACCGCGACAATGTAGCGAAGTGATTTTTTTCTCATCTAGAAGGCATTCTTGTTGAGTTCACGTATTTACTGCATGTTTCGCGGTTTCGCAGTATTTAAAAAGTTAATCAAAAGACAGCCAGTTTACATAAACTAACCCGCATCTCAATTTTCACAAGAAGCCAAATTATAAATCTCGAGTAGCTAGCAAGCTGTAGATTTGACCTGACCTTGCGTTGAGCTCTAACGATGACCGCATCATCGATTGATATCGATATATGCATGATTTTCGTGACACCGCTATTAATCACTTCAACCAATGAAAAACAGACAAAAAGTAGTCACCGAATTAAATTTCTTCAAGGTCGCAATTATCGATTCTGCAGAAAACGCACAGGCACGAAATACTTTTTTGATCTGTCGCATGAATCAAGTAGAAACCCTCGTGGTCACTGTTTAGCTAACGATGAAGAGCCATATGTTGCTAACCCAATTTCGAAAATAAACCAGAATCAATAGTCGAAAAATCGATATAAAGCCGGAACCTGTAGCCAATGGGATAAGAGTCAAATGTTATAGTTTTCGAGGTCTGTTTAACGCCTATACAAGGCAGAATTTTCAGTGACATTTTGGTTTCCAGTTACACTGCTGGGAGTTAATAAGAGGTTAGTGAACAGCATTGACTCACATTCGCCAATCCAATCACTCCAGCCTCCGACACAAGATCCCCCTCTTCACCGCATGTCGCCAGCCGCGTGGATTCTCGACTACCGCATCATTAGCGATACGGTTATCTGGATTATCCTCACATCCAGTTATAAATACACACGCGCAAATGCCACCCACGACACAACGACACCAACGTGGTCGAGCTCTGAAGCAAACGCTTGTGTCCACGTCCACTCCGGTCTTCATTTTCATCGCCGATAGTAGGTCACATCTAACCCAGTGGCCCCCACGTGGCTCAAGGTCACATGCTGCTATTTTCAGCCAATTTGACACGAATAGTTAATTATTCAGTAATTGAACACTCGATCGTAGAACTACCACACAAGAAGCGATGTATCTTGGTGCCGAATTAACGGTATTTTGTCGACCAAACTTTGTCGAAAATTTGTGATACCATCTCGGTTTCTGGGAAGTCACGAGGTAATCTAGTTTTCAAAATTTCCTCTAACTTCCGGGCCCCTCAGCTTGGATTTTCGCAAATCGAAGCCCTACCAAACCGATCAATTCAACTGATCTGATTGGGACACCACGAAGGGGGTTAGATGGATCCAAGCTGACGTATTAACTGACTGACTGACTGGCAGGTGAATCACATTTCCGTCAAGAAATGTGAAGGGTGTGCAGCGGGAGGCGGGATTGGTGCAACAGGGTGAAGCAATGATGCGTCTGTTTCAGCCGATCCCCACAAACCCCCGTACCAACACAAATAAAGCAGAAGAGGCTAAAATCTGACAAAATTCGTTAAAATGTACCACCCTGTTTAACATACATGCCTAAATTTGTGCCTTATTTAGCCAGTATTTCAGAATAATCATCGATTTGTGATGATAACATTGTCTTATTTTCAGACAGATTCGAGTTTGAGTGTTCATAGGGCTCGGGTTTTCAAGATGAACGCTTTACGAAAAACTTACACAACGTTTGGCCGGAGCTGTATGACATTCCGTTCCACAACTTCGATTTGTTCTTGAGGGCTTCCATTTGCTATCCTCAAATGTCGTGCTGGGAAATCACACGATTTCGAAGTGGACGCCTTCGAAACAACGCGAAAAATAATATGTGGAGCTTGATTATGGTTCGTTCTTGCAAGTGTTTTAGAAATGGTTCTTGTCGTGGTGTGGGTTTGTTTAATCTTAAATTGGCTGCAACGAATTTTCAAAGAGATCGATTTATTAAAGCGCTTTAGGCGATTGTGGTTCGTGATAATGAGTGTGTTGTCAATCGCATTAATTAACACTCGCTAATCCGGCCACTCCAGACTCCGGAACGAGGTCCCCCTTTTCGCAGCATGTCGCCAGCCGCGTGGATCCTTAACTCCCGCCTCATTAGCGCGAACGGTTATCACAGGTTATCCTCACACCTAGGTCTCGATGTTAACGCATGTATGACTCACACATCTGAGGTATAAATACACACGCGCAAACGCCACACACGACACCAACGTGGTTGAGCTCTGAAGTAAACGGTGGTGTCCACATCCTCTCTGGTCTTTTTCTTCATCGCGGGTATCAGGGAAGCGTAATCGGGCCAAATCAGAATCGCACTTTAGTCAGTATTATCCAAGTTGGCAAAATCCGTCCTATTGGTGGAAAATCGATCAAGGCCGCAGCACTCGGCTTCCATTGGCTGAGCACACTTCTTTAGAGTCTACTAACCTCAGTAATCAAAATCTTGGCTAACAGGACAGGGGGATTCGATTCCCCTTAACACCTAATAGGTGTGACATTGTAAATCACCTGAAATGTTGTGATCTTTCCCAGACTACACAGGCCTTGCTAGCCTATTAGGACCACAGTGGAGCATGTTGTGTGTAAACTTTGTTTTTTTTTTCTAAAAAAATACCATTATTTGCACAAACTGTGACATTTATCTGTTGAGAGGCAGCAGAAGCACACGCAACAGTTGTTGTGCATCATCCAATTCTGGGCAAATGATGCAGCATTGGCTGCAACAGGAACAGCAGGAGAACCTGTCAGTTATGATTGCAACAGCACGACGTGAAATGTCCATCTGGGGAGGATAGTTTGGCCATTTCTAATGTCTGGAAATCACAAACCCCTTCCACACCTCAGCGTTAAGGTGCGCTGTGGCTTCACATCACAAGGGCACCTCGTTTTTCCACATCCTGAAACTCTCTCGTTTTTCATCCAAATACAAATAAAAGTGTGATTTTGACGTGACAAAACACACGCAAATTCACACAATTTTTTTAAGAATTCACAATCAACCACCATGAAGCAGTGTTGACAGTCGGTATTTGCGCTTTATGTGACATTTAACCGCCATCTTTCAGGTCTTCATTAAGCAGAGTGTTTGGATACTTTACGTGTGGATTGTCAGTAACTTAGCGCCTTCGAATTTAATCCCACTCAAAATGGCGTTGTCTTTTTTGGCTAGGTGACGGTTCTTAAGACCTGCTAATCTTTTGTTTCAGTATTATCGAATAAATGATTAGAAGAATGTACAGATTATCATCATCATCAATCTATTTTCGTCAACATACAAAGACGGTTCAAAGTGTCTCCAAATGAAATTCAAATCTCTTGTTTAAATTAAACACATTTTTTTGCGTGCAGCAACGGAAAATCGGAGGGAATTTCAACAGCTCAGTTTGTCAATATCGATGAGATACTTGCAAGACAGTTTGAACCAATCACACCAACACAGCATGCATGGTTGGTTCAATTCGAATTTTCAGGTATGCGCTGATTCGAGCTCATGGATATCACTATGACGATTGATATCATTAATGCCTGGAGCATTTGTCAAGTCATTTCCCAATTTGCTCAATTCAGTTTTACCAGATAACTTTGCCTTCTGACAAGCTATCACTTTGCTTAGTTTCTAGCCAAAATCGATTAAGAATTAAGGAAATCGATTATCCGCCAAGGGCAAGAACTCTATTGGCCACTGAGGCGTCGTCCACGAGGTTCAAATGCAGGATGAGCAAGACATGGGGACACCCGAAAGCCGTACTCCCCAGTTTTAACCTATCATGTTGCACTTAGGAAGTATTCTGTACAAAATAATTTTTTTATCCATGCAATAAACCTGAAATGCCCACGTCTAAAATACATCAAACCGCGAATCCGTTTGAATATGCATTGCCACGCCTCCGTGCGTGCGTGCGTGCAAGTGAGTGTGTGCAGTGCGTGTCTGCGCACCCAATGAGTCAACCAATCAGGGTCGAGCTACGCTCTACGCTGGCCCCTGCGTCATGGCAACGATTGTGTGATCACACCTTACCACGCACCTATAAAAAAGACGTTCAAGTCTTCCTCTTCCTCACACCGAAATCCCACTTGAGGTGAAAGGGCACCCAAGCGAGCACCTGTGGAACCTAGCAAGACCCCAAGTGACCTTGAACCTGAGGTAGGTGGGACAATTTCTATTCCGCCTCTTTCTCATATTCCTGTTTTTTTATTGGGTGTATTTTGGTAAATTAAATTTTACTCAACGTGAAATGGTGCTAATCATTCGTTTTAACGCCAAAAATAGCGATATTTTTTAAAAAAAGAGGTTACGACTTTCGGAGAAAAGCATACTTTGCGCTGATTGGTCCTCCCAAGTTACCCCAATTTCGTCTCCTGTTAAGTGTGGAAAATGTATGTATCCAACTCGTGGTAAAATTACCAAATGTAGGCTCAGTCCATGAAAAATCATCCATTAAGTGATTGTCTGGACTCTATTTGCGCACATTTTCGACATTTTCTGAGATTTCATTCTCGTTTTTAGTGACGTGCTTTTTTTTGATTTAAATTTTGCTACTAATAAACGTTGGGAGTGAGATGACTATGACATTTGTATACTCAAGATAGATCTACGGATGCAAGTGAGTTCAGATTTAGTCAATTTCCGGTGGCCTAGATATCAATAAGTTGAGTTGAATTCCTCAACATTGATCGCCCACCTTAACGCGATTAATTCAAATTTCTACGTAATTTGATTAGTTGAAACATAGATTTCCATGACAACAAGGTGGAATAGCGATTTCAGCAGGAAACAAAGGCAGCCACTCGTGGTTTCCATCAAGTCTGTTTATATGGGAGTCCAAGCGAGACGAATTGCAAATGTCACATCCTAATCAGACCTGTGTCGGTACAGCTGTCTCCATTGGTGATGGCACTGTTCACACAAACCAGACTATTAACACGGCAGGAATTCGCGAAGGAATAATCTCACATGATGGGATGATGATGAATCCTACTACTATTATTATTATAACCATCAGTCGGTTCGTGAGTCATTCTTGCTGTTCAGACGAGACTGTGATAAATTTTCCTGAAAATTAGCCAGACGGATATATATTTACTGAGACCACAGACTAATCGATGCTGTGTGCAACAGTTGTTCGCTAATGAGGAACCTCAATTTACAGACCACCTCTCATCCAATTGGGTGGATATGAACATCTCTTGAAACACATTGGTTGATTAAATGTCCTCATCTGATTGGTTAGGTGCCATTCCAAATTAGTATTGGTATTGATCGAGCCAATCGACTCAAAGCCTCGACTCAGAGGGCGGACAATTTGCAAATTTCTATGTCGGTTTTCACGTTTGTGCGTGCTGTTTTGGGCCCCCAACTTGGGTGATTTTTTGTGGTTTTTCTGGAACACGCATGCGCGCACACACACGCACGCTAACCAAGCGGTTCTCACGGACAGCCTTCACACGGAGCTTGTCTTCCGTCAGTCACCCCCGCCTCTATATCCGATTTCCATTTGCACGAAACCAGGTGAATCACTACGGCGTCGATGAGGGGTACAGCTCAGCCTCCCAACAGGTGTGCGTGTGTGCGCTTTGGCATCCGCTTGCCCTCTGAGAGTGGACGAGGGCCCACAAATGCCTCCCCCCGTCCATCACCACTGATTAATGCGGTATCTCGTGGCATGAGAACAGATTCTGAAACCGGATTTTCTAGTCCAACGCTTGAAACTGCCTTCCACACAGTCCAGTTGACTCAGCATGTTAGGTTTGTGGTTGTGGATCCTGGTGTTGACTCGCACTTCCACAATCGTCGTGGAATTACTTCAGTTGGCCGCGACGCTTCCATGTGGACAACCTGATTCTACACATAGAATCGATCTTTCTGATGGAAAACATACCTTTTCCACTGTATTTGGCTGCGTTCGCTTTCAAGAATTCGACAAAAATAGCATCCACGATGCCGTAGTCGCATTTGCCATCTATTTGATCGAGTTCGACTCCTGGTACGCAGAGTCTAACGAACCACCTCTAGAGGTAATTTTGATGATCTTTTTCGTCACTTTCACGCGCCTGGCGACTTAGACCACTGCTTGTGCGTCTCTGATCTTTGAGTTCAACAATTGGACCTCGCCATTCAGGGAATGACGCCGGACTGACGGGGGTGCGTGGTGATGGGTGGTGAATCATTGGATTGTCTGGTTATCAATTACTGCTCTCACTTAATGTGGGGTAAATTACAGCCACTAGACGAGGTGACGCATAGACGCTATTTAAAACTCCGTCGTGAAGTGAGTAATTGCGATCTGGTGCTTTGTGTGTTGAAACCGTCGAGACAATTGCTTTCAGCTTCTTTTTTTCCGAATTTTTTTGGCGAATTTCTGGTGATTGACACACTGACTCATTTCTTGGGTCGGTGAAATCACGAAATCTGTCCCCACGTCAGGCTTCCAATCACTCAAAGACGGGGTAGATGGTAGGACCACGTGTGACCCAGAAAGAGGACAATTAGAGGCAGGATACGATGATCAAGATAACGTTGCATTGGGGAATTTAATCATAAATGAGCTTGAGAAGAGAAATGACTGCCGAATTTACACTTATAAATTGCAGGATGACGCTCGTGGTACCAGGAATTTTGCTTCTGTTATGGATGTTCAACGGATCTGGAGCATCGTTTGAAAACTCTACCAGACGCCGTAGACACTCGGACGTCCAGGAAGGTGGCCAATGGAGAGGTGCAGGCAACCTACCAATCAGTGAGGAGGCTGTGAATGCTGGTGGCTATGCAACCCCACAGTGCGAACCAATCACAGTGCCAATTTGCAGTGGCGCCTTCTACGAATTCACCCGCATGCCCAACATCCTTAACCACGAGACTCAAGAAGAGGCCGGCTTGGAGGTAAGCTATGCAATATTTATTGAGGTTTGGTTTTCGCGGTCTCAAGGTCTACAATGGATTGGATGATCCCCATTTAGTGGAAGCCGTGCTGACATCCTATTGGCCAGGACACACTTGTAGTCGCTTAATTAAACCGTGGATTTCAAGCGATTGGATTAAAACATGGTGAATGCAGGGCCCTAAATCACTTTGCCGCGTAAATAACGCATGAGTGATTAAGTCCATTATCGTGTACCCCACACTTGAGTTAAAACGGGACGTTAATTAATGCGTCGTCGGGGACACGTGCGTTGTGTGAACCAGCCGGCAATAAATCAATAAGAAAAAAAGTTGATATTTCTCACCACATGTGTGTGCGTACCTAGGGGTACAGATTCCATGATTTTCCAGTAAAAATCCGCTTCTTTTTAGCGGATGGGCAAGTTGTGCCAAAACGAGTTCTCTCAGACACGACGTCTTTGCGTACAAACTCGACGTGGCACAACACATCTAATGGCCACACAAATCACTTTTAAACCAACCGCGTAGCTGTTCTGACAATCGTTGCACAATCGTTGTCGTAATTTCTACCCAAACACGGATGTTTAATAAAATGGTTTTTTTTGCGATTATTTTTATCAATGAAAATTCAGATTTTCGAACGATTAAGTCGTTGGCCTGGTTCTCAATTGACACATTCGACATAGTAAAGCTACAGAAATGTAGAAATAGTCATCGGTTTTTGTGCCTCAGGTCCTTCATTACTACTTTGTGTACTCTCCTCTTCCACCACCACCACCACCACCACCACCACCACCACCACCACCACCACCACCACCACCACCACCACCACCAC